GTCAGAATGGGAGCTTAAATAATGCCAGCCTAGGCCCAAGTATAATGAATAATTTGTCTAACAGTAACATGGCTGAGAGGGACACCTCACATTGTCCTCTGTCCTTCTCATTTGCATTGGAATATAAATACACAGGCCCACATATGCGCGCGTGCGCACACACACACACACATATACACATTCATAAAACCCACATTATCTATAACAAACACACATATGCCTATACCACACAAACTACAATTGTTTATATACCAGACATAAGCACATATATTACACTAAACACACACACACACACACACACACATACACACTCAGAAACAAAACAACAACAAAATCTCTGTGGTGGGACTTTCAAGACACACAACTAGTTTTGTGCTGTCCCTGTTTTGGGTACATTCTGAAGCCAGTAAATTTAAGTTTGAAGTCCCTTTACTAGCTGTGTGAACTTAGGTAATATTTATTCTATCTCAATCTCATTTTTTTCTCACCTGGAAAATGAAAAATGAAGAAACAATAGTACACACATCACAAGGGAATATGTAGTAAAAGTGAATGACACCGAATTAAGTGCATTGGTCCCTAGCAACAGGCATTGCTAGCCCTCCACAAACATGATGCGGTTCCTCTAATACCCATCCCTCTGATTTCACATTTCAGCTCTGTAGAGTAGGGACCACATTACAATTGTGAAGATGAGCTTTTTTTTTTTTTTTTCACTCATCTGCATCTAATGATTTCACAGGAAGTTCTAAGCAACCATTAGATGCTGAATGGTCCTACGACATTCTGCCACTAGAGAAAAAAGAGGGTACAGAAAGTACCCAAGAAATCTAGTTCAAATCTGGGCTTAGAATTCAGAACTGTTCTATATTATCACCCAAAAGTAGCCAGTTATTTCCTACTCTCCAGTGTCCAGCAGCTCAGACTTATTCTGTAACTAAACAAAGCTCAGTTTGAGGAAAGATCTGAGAGCAACCAGAATTCTTTCCTAAGTCTACAGAGGTCAGTTGGTCAAAGCATTTTTGGTCTTAATTTATATTATAAGTAGGTTTTGACAAGCCAAATTGATGATATCATAAGGCCATGTGGCTATATTTTTCATATGTGGCTCAGATTAGCTCCCAGATGCTTTGCTTAAATTAGGCCACATTATCACTACAAATCCTGGTTCTCTATCCACAGCTCACACTATTTCTAGCCTATCTGTGATGCATGTTGACCTTATGCAACCTCCATGACAAACAGACAAACTGTTAACAGCCATCTAACTCGAGCTCAAGACTGACTTTTCTATGAGAACCTATTAGAGCAAACACCTCATTCTATACTCTATATCTTTTCTCCCTTTTTCAGATACTCTGACAAGACTGGGGCATTTCTCAGTGACTCATTTTCATGTCAAAGAACATTGCATTTCTATGTCAGATTGTTTTATTTTTGATTCTTCATATCTCCCTATGTTACCAAGTGTCAGTACAGGTTAAATGTCAAAGGCCTCGTATTCTTGGTGATCTCAAAATGCATGGCCATTCATAAAGACATTTATCTTTAATAACTACTCACTGGGAAAAACATGGTTTGAGCAATGAAAGGCAAAATAAAATGTGGTCATCAAAAGAAAAATAACACAGATAAAAGACAACCCCATGAAAAAGCTTATTATATAACATTCCAAATTCTTGTAGATATTTGTTATTTTCTTTTACATAATCAAAAATGTTTGGGACACTATGGTTCTTATGCCTATAAACCAGTTCTTTATTCCTAATGTAAATGGTTTCATTATTTCATTTATATAATGAATAAGTCATTATAAGGATATGAATTTAGAACACAATGAATGTTCCATGGCAGCAAGACTTCATTCAAGGAGAAAACGTGCTAGAGAGGTGGGGAGATGGTTCAGTCAGTAAAATGCTTGCTGCATGAGTATTAGGAGCTGAGTTCATACCCTTAGAACCCATTAAAAATATAGTATTGCAGTGTGGGCCTACAATTACAGCACTGGAAGGAAGAGACAAGTAAATCCTGGAGGCTCAATGGCTAGCCAATCAAGCCAATGGGTATGCTACAGGCTCAATGAGAACTCCTGTCTCAAAAAAGAAAAAGCAGATAGAGAAGACAACTAGTGTTCCCTGTGGTTCCCATACATGCACACATGGACAGGTATACCCACAACATGTATACAATACACACACACTAAAAACAAAACAAGAGTTAGCTGAGTAGTGAAGTAATTGCTTAATATGTGTGAGTCCATAAACTTGATTAAAGAACCATAAAGAAAAGGAAGAAATAGAATAGACAACCAGGAAGGGGAGAGGGTAGAATGAAGAGGAAGGAGTAAGATGGGAGAAGGGAAAGGAGGAAGGAGAATGGCAAGGAAGAAGAAATGACAGATGGGGAAAAATAAAATAAAAATGGAATTTCAGTTATAAGCTACTTAAAAATCAGATTAAACAGTAATGATTTTGATAAGGATTCACCAAATCAATAATAACTGACATGCTGTGAACAACAAGAAAATAGTTCATAGTAATCAATTGTTAAGAAACTTACACTCACTGGTGGCGTTGGTGCACGCCTTTAATGTCAGCTCTTGGCAGGCAGAGGCAGGCATATCTCTCTGAACTGGAGGCCACCTGATCCATGCAAATGCCAGGACAGCCAGGACTGTTACATGTTACATACATAAATTCTCTCTCTCTCTCTCTCTCTCTCTCTCTCTCTCTCACACACACACACATACACACACACAATAAAATAAGCAACAACAAAATTTTCACTCGACATTCATCACTTCTTATAATACAAATGAAAGTGGAAATCCTTAAGGTTGTAATAAACTATAACTGAGTCCAAATAATCCTACCAGGCTTCTGGCCTCACGCTGCCCTAGAAACTTCAAACTATTCCATAAGTTTTGACTCCAGTTCACTCATGTTCTCAGTTTACACAGTGCTAAGGAGAAAGAAAGTCTCCAAAACAAGTGATCATTTCCAGAGGAGAAGCTGATGGAGAATCAGTCATTAAAGTACCTGTCACACAAGCACAAAGACCTAAGTTCCCTGCCCAGGGTCTTGATAAAAGTTAACTGTAGTGATTCCTGTCTGGAACCTAGTGCCAGAGTGAAGAGATGGGCAGATCCCTGTAGTTTGCTGATCAGACATACTAGCCAAGCAATCACTGAGCTCCACGTTCAGTGAGAGATCTTGTCTCATAAAATATGGTGGAGCAAAATAGAGGAAGACACCTTGATTTCAATCTCTGGCTTCTGAACATGAACAAACGTTTTCATACACATGCACATTCACAAATAAACTATTTAGGCATTCACACCAAATGAATACATAGAAAGGGCTGATGAATTGTTTCTTCATAAAAATAAAAATATAACTAAAAAGTTAGAACCTATCCTACTCTGTATCCAGACTTCCTTATTGTCAACTTAAATCCTTCCTGTTACACACTAATGTACTTTTCTGTTCTTTCTAAAAATGAAGATCATTTCATTTTCAATGCAAGTTTATTACAAGACAATGAAACACACAGCTATTATAGGAGAACTTAAAGCTTCTTTCTTTACACGGAAGAAAACAATACCAAAATTTGGTATTTCTGTCAAGTTATATCTGGCTTGACTTTCATATTCCAGTCCCTCAGGGCAACTGTGATTCACTTCTAGACCGTGTCTGTCTGGGAAAGTTAATGTTCAACATGAATGGAATTCGGAGTTGTATATAAGCATGTCCATGGGTTTCTACAGACAGTTTTGTTTAAGGAAGAGATCACTAGCTGCAGAGCAGTAAAATTTGTATCTCAAGTAACACCTGTGGCCTCAATTGAGGTCTCTGGCTTCTAGAAAGCATTAAAAACTGCCTTCAGTTGGCTTCAAGGGACAGCAATGCATACAGTAAACCCAGGAAGTGGCTTCACTTCTTTGGCTGGAAGACATTTACTGAAATAATTCATCTCTCCTTATTATATCTTTGCACTTGATGTTTGTGCCCACCGCTAAGTCTTTACTGTTTTGGAAGGTACAACAAAGCTTCAAGAGTTAGAGAATTTGGTTACACGATACTGCTATATTTTCTTCCTTCAACATAAGTGATCTGCGACCTGAGAATGGCAAGGAGTACAGCTGACCTTGCTGAAAATGGTTAACTTGAAAGCTCAGATAGTCTCAGCTTTTCCCATGCAACAGAGACACCACATTTGACTACAATCACTGCATACATAGTGACTTCACAGGTACTCTTCAACAAACAACCATTCCAAGTCATTGCCTCGCCCCTCATCATTAAACCATTTTGAAAATTTCCCAACATTCTTTCTAGAATTAAAAGCCAAAGAGCAAGTAGCAATATTTTCAGCTTGAAATTGAGGAACTAGATGCTGTAATTTTAATAAATTATATAAAGTAAGTAGTATCTACCCTGTCCACACGTGTACTGCTGACCACACCCATTTGGGCATGGTCATGTCACAGGTGCGGAAGTGAGGGAGAGTGGTTTTAGGTCTGAGGTGGGGGTGGGGGCACAGGACACAGGCTGCTCTCTCTTGCTTCCAGTGGAGTCACAGAGAGCAATCTGGGTGTATCCCTGGAGCAGGAACTTGTGGTAGTCATCCACTTCTTGTGTGACTTCCCCCACAATAAAATTATATTAATGTATAGTGAGCCTAGTCCCGTGAATCTTCTTGATCCGTGCATCTGTAAAGTATAATTTGAAGATCACAACTTGATCAATGTCCATAAAATGTATGTTATTTGTGCAATATCATACCATTAAAATTGATATTCCTGATCTCAGTACTATTTCTATATTTGACATTTGAACTAAGAGTCTCATCATGCTCAGAAAAGTTTAATGGCAGGCACTTGCTTTCAATAGAAATTAGAATGGATGTCAAAACCACTTCAACAAATTAAATTTTATGTATCTAAAATCTTCCTTTAAGATGCATTTTTCTCCTTACTTTTGACATATTCAAGTAGAATAGACAAGTTTTATTCAAGCAAAATTTTAAAAAGGTGAATCCAGTCTGAGCAGGTAAAACTCTTCAAAGAATTTCATTTTCTCTCCTACATTTGAGAAGATGTGCAGAATTAAAATATCCGAACAGTTATTTCAGTGAAAGGTTCCACAATCCAAGCTCGTTTTCAACCCTAAAGAAGGGCAGAATGAGATTTTAAAAAATGGAATATAGACAACTCCCAAAAGCAAACACCTTCTCTCGAATAGAGAATGAACCTTCTTCCTATTGAAATCCTACATTCTTGTGGTTTCAGGAGACTCTTTTCTTGCCAGTGAAATCCATGATTACAGACCACTAATGATATTTGCCAGGTATTAGTCCCTTTAGACATTATGAGCTATTGGGTGAAAAACAGATATTTTTTACTTTGTCTAATTCAATGTACTTTGAAAATGGAATTCAAAGCTCATGTTTCTCAAAACCAAAGTATCTGACAAAGTTCAAAACCCCCATGAAACTTGGTAAAAGCAGCCTCATCACCCTAACTCATCTGTAACTGCAAATGCTACTTTTTACTTTCGTATTTCATATAAAAACCCCCTTTCCTTAGGGCATCTCCATTCCTGAAATCAGGGATGGCATGCTTAAAGGAAGGTATATAGGTGAAGCATACCAAGGAGCTAGGCAAACAAGGAGACATAAAAGCACAGGATGGGAAAAATGAAACCTGCTTGAACTACTATCAGTCTGTTTGCCTCCAACTGAAATGAGATTTCCAAAATTCAATAAATGTGGTTACTTGTAATTTGAAGTCACAAAATTGAAAATCCTATTATGTGAAAAAGGAATCTGGTCAAAAAAAAGGGCATCATCTCAAATTATTTCTTAAGCAAATCTTAAATTTTAAATCTGTCTATTTTATTCTCAGAGATATAAAATGCTTTACTCTGAGTACCTAATTCTTTTTAAATCTATTTTATTCTCAGAGATATAAAATGCTTTACTCTGAGTACCTAATTCATTTCATTCTGCCTTTACTCTATGTGTAATTAACCCTAATAATATTTTAATAATTTTAACATATATCTACAGATATATATCCTAAAGAATTTCTAAGGCCATAGAAATAAATTTGAGCATATAAAACAATATATGTAAAATCAACTTATAGCTAGAAACCATTGTCAAATTCAGCTTAATAATTTATAAAAATGCACACAAACAAATTGGATCAAAATCCACAGTCTTCTCACTCCATCTACTCTTCCCTTGGCCCATTGCCAGTACTGGAAAGAAACTTATCTTCATGAGAAATTTTATGTCACACTATTTAAATTTATCATAGCACAAACTTCATTATATATGTAGATGTAAAGTGAAATAGGATCAAGGTGCCAAGTATTTCCTCTATCAGTAGCTTACTATTAAACAAGTTTCATTACCTAAAACATGGCACAGACATTGGAAATCACACTGCAGTAGTGACATTCGAAATTATAAGGTGTGTTTGACATTGAAAGTTAACTGCATTTTTTCTTCAGGAAGGAAAAATCCTTCTCTTTCTCCCTTCTACAAATGTTTCTTAATGACCTTTAGGAGTCATTGCACTATGGCAATACCCTTAGAACCTGTTGGATGTTAAGGAACACAAACTGTATATAACTTGTTTCACATCTGTGCTGCTTTCCGTTCCCCTAAAACCCTTGACTTTCATGTCATAATACTCAGTGTAACATGGATATGACTAGAATATATTTGTGCTTTCCCGGGTATCAAGTAGTAACATGAATTACTATATAAGGTTGTAAAGGAAGAGAATACAGGAAAGAAGGAGACTGACATTTTTCACGATTCTAAAAATAACACAATGAGCTTCATGTTTTAATTCTATTCTTTAGCTTCCTCTTATGAATAGGACCTGCCTGGAAGAAGATTCAGGACTTCGGAAAAAATATAGTAGGAACATAGGCCAATTTCAAGTCCATGAAAAGGCTTCACTGAACATTGCTGTTATTTTAACTTTATCTAAAGAATCAGAACAACATCATGAAATAATCACTATTTTTCTTGTTTGTTAAAAAGCCAAGGATTCAGTTAATAATAGTAATAGGGCTTCTTAATGACTTCCTAATGAAAAAAATTCTTCTGCCTCGAACAGAAATTCTACCCAATCATCAGCCAAGCCCCTACAAACTTTGTGACAATGACAAAAAGCAACATATACTTTCTTCTCTCAAAAAGAAACAGGTAAGAACCCAGAGATCAATCAAATGATTCCAACTTGAATGTTCCAGCTGACCAGCAAATATACAGCCTCATCATTGAGTATATATTTACAAAACATCCTATAAGCACTAAAATAATGGAACAACGGACAAACCAACCTGCCCTACAACCATGTGCTATGTGCTCAGCAAATCCTTTCCATCTCTATGTCATTGAACTGCACTTAGCAGGTACACTTACAAACATACATAATCCTCAATATTACTATATAGTGGCATCTACAATGTCATTACCAATAATACTAGACAATATTATAGAGTGTTTATAGCAATACTTATTTTCTAAGAACTCAGGTACCTGATACTAAGCATTGCACTTGCCTTTTCTCAAGCAAGTTGAAGTCTTAAATTTCCATCACTAGACTGTCTCAAAACATTAATTTGCCCAAATCATAAATGCATAAACATGCCTGAACCTGATCTCTGAGTTCAAAGACAGCCTGGTCTACAGAGAAAGAGTCCCAAGACAATCCAGGCTACACAAAGTCTGTCGTAACACTTCCCCCCAATATGCCTGAACCATGATTTAAACTCATCTCTATAGAAATAAAAAACCCATAGTCTTTGTAATAAGAAAATACAAAGTGATCTTTATCTTCCTCTCCAAAATTAGCCTCGAAATTAAAAAAAAAATTATTTCTATGCCAAACACTGTAGTTAGCATGATGGACATGGAAAAAAAAAAAAAAAAAAAAAAACAGATCATAAGCTAGAAGATTGGCTGTCCATATTCAGCTTTTCTCTGAATACACAAAGAAAGAATTAAGTCTATCCATCACATGAGATTAACAGATTTTAACAAGCCCTTTGGTCTGTGTGACACATCACAGTACTACTGTCTTCCCTCACATTTCCCCACACTGACTAATTCTCAATGGAAAGCATCTTTGGCCTCCGTGACTACTATAGTCACAGTCACTACAACTATTACCGGCCTCTGATGCATGCCAAACTAAATAGTCCCTGAAAATTCACAAAGTCAGTTCCCTGAGGTCACATTCAATACAGCCTAAGCTATCAAAATGAAGTACTTTTTTTTTGTTTGTTTGTTTTTCGAGACAGGGTTTCTCTGTGTAGCTTTGGAGCCTATCCTGGCACTCACTCTGGAGACCAGGCTGGCCTTGAACTCACAGAGATCCGCCTGCCACTGCCTCCCGAGTGCTGGGATTAAAGGCGTGCGCCACCAACACCCGGCCATTTATTTGATTTCTAATGACATGGAGAAGGTACAAGGATTACAGAAGAACATTAATCAAAATAAAGGTAGCTGGACTAGAAAGATGGCTCAGTGGTCAATAGCACTTGCTACTCTTCCAAAAATCCCCAGGTTTGATTCTAGCTCGCAGATGGTGGTTCACAACCTTCTAATACTCTAGTCCCAGATCCAATGATGTCTTCTGACCTTTCTGGGCACTAGGCAGGCAAGTAGTACATTGACATAAAGAGTAGACAAATCACTCATACACAAAATAAAATAAATTAATTTCAAAAGTACTTTCAGAATAAAATAAAGGTCTTGCCTTTACTTATGATCAAGTACTTACTGACAAATATAAAGGTATAATAATAAATATATAAACAAACACCCAAACAACCTTATCCAAGACCATGGTAAGAGGATGCAGTTAAGGACAGAGAATGTAGGCCTCCAATATAGCTCAGTAAATACAGACACTCACTGCCAAACCTAAGAGTATTGGTTTAATCCCTCAGATACATACAGACAATAGCAGGAAAGGAACCATTCCTACAAATTGTCTTCAACACATGTGCCACAGCATGGGTGTGCCTCCCCCATCACACACACATACATTGTACCTACAAAAGTACAAGAGAATTCCATGCTGCAACACAATATATCTGAAAGCCCTGGATAACAGATAATAGTGTTTTTCACTATCACATCAATGAGGGTTCAGATTAGACTTTGACATGTGTTAGCTACAGTGATCTGTAGAACTTTATCTAACTATGGAGAACCCAAGTTTCTCAAATTTCATTGTGTTGAAATTCCTATCTTTCATGACTATTGTAAAAATTCAATTAAATATAAAGAATGAATAAGTTTAAAAAACAAATGAGCCAAGGACTGTACCAGGAACAATGTGAGTGATCAACAAACGGTAGCAGTTGTTACAGGCTGAACTGTACATAATGGCTGATACCTGATTGTTACTGACTCACAAAAATGGCAGTTCCACATGATCCACCCTGATATTAGTGTGTTTAGATACATATGAGCAAAACAATCGGTAAGACAAGTTCTGTCACTAGTTAAATAGATAAAAAGAAAACATGGAACATACACAATGAAACACTATTCTGTGTTTAAACAAAAAGTGGCAAATCCTTTCACTTACATAACATGATGGGTGAGCCTGGAAATTAATGTGTTAAGTGAAATAAGTGTGGAACAGGAGGACAAACATTATATGATTTCAATTACACATGGAATCTAGAAAAGCTAAGTTTACAGAGGCAAAGAGAAGAATGGTCATTACCAGGATAAGGGCAGTAGGCAAAGTTGTGGTCCCAAAACACAAATTTTCAGCTATTTAGGAGGTTACTGAAGATTTCAGTAAGTTCAAGAGATAAATTAGACATTATGGTGACTATAGCAGCTAACTATCATATTCTTGAATGCTGCAAAGAAAGGCTTCTTTTCTGACCTCAGAAATGACAAGACAATGTATGTTAATTATCTCATGGAGCCATTCCACACATATACATATTTCAAAACAATGTGTTAGAGAAATCAATGCATTCAGTTCATATTTGTCAGCTAATTAAAAATAAAAAATCAAGAATGAAAATTCACCAGCTAGAAACACTGGGCTATGAACCAACAGAATGACTGCCAAGTCAAGGAGTCTGTAATTTAGTTTTTCAGCTGCAAAACAAAAAATTGAAAACCTCTGATACATGGTTTAATTTAAAAGATTGAACACTTAATCAATTAAAACCTATGATGTAATTGTGGTCTAGATTCCACTAGTCTTCAACAATGCATTATTTATATTACTATTTCCATTGTAAAATGAAGAAAACAAATTTGAAAATGTTTAAGATCATCTCAGCTTCCATTTTAATGCTGTTTGTATATTTATAAAAATGAATGGTTCATTCTCCTAGCTCCCTCTCCCCTCCCGCCATGCTCCCAATTTGCTCAGGAGATCCTGACATTTTCCCCTTCTCTGGGGGACCATGTATATCCCTCTTAGAGTCCTCCTTGTTTCCTAGCTTCTGTGGCAGTGTTGATTGTAGGCTGGTAATCCTTTGCTCTATGTCTAAAATCCATGTATGAGTGAGTGCATACCATGATTATCTTTTTTGTGACTGGGTTGCCTTGCTCAGAATGGTTTCTTCTAGTTCCATCCATTTGCCTGTGAATTTCAAGATTCCATTGTTTTTTTTTCCTCTGAATAGTAATCCATTGTGTAATTGCACCACATTTTCTCTATCCATTCTTCAGTTGACGGGCATCTAGGTTGCTTGCAGGTTCTGGCTATTACAAATAATGCTGCTATGAACATCGTTGAACAGATATCCTTGTTGTAGGAATGTGCTTCTTTTGGACATATGCCAAAGAGTAGAAATGCTGGATCTTGTGGTAAACTAATTCCCATTTTCCTGAGGAATCGACATACTGATTTCCAAAGTGGCTGTATGAGTTGGCACTCCCACCAGCAGTGGAGGAGTGTTCCTCTTTCTCCACATCCTTTCCACCATAAGCTATCATTGGTGGGTTTTTTTGTTTTGTTTTGTTTTTTTGTTTTGTTTTTTTTAATTTTAGCCATTATGACAGGAGTGAAATGGTATCTCAGAGTTGTTTTGATTTGCATTTCCCTGATGGTTAAGGATGTTGAGCACTTTCTTATGTGTCTTTCAGCCATTTTAGATTCCTGTATTTAGTTCTGTACCCCACTTTTTAATTGGATTATTTGGTGTTTTGGAGACTAGCTTCTTGAGTTCTTTGTCAACTTTGGAGATCAGTCCTCTGTCAGATATGGGGTTGGTGAATATCTTTTGCCAGTCTGAGGGCTGCTGTTTTATCTTGCTCATTGTGTCCTGTGCCTTACAGAAGCTTCTCAGTTTCAGGAGGTCCCATTTATTAATTATCAATCTCAGTGTCTGTGCTACAGGTGTAATGTTCAGGATGCATTCTCCTGTACCAATTTGTTCAAAGGTACTTCCCACTAGGAGGGGTAAGAAAGACATAAGGGAACAGGAAGGTTGTATAGGGGGAAGAATAGAGGAGAGTAAAATAAGAGATACCATAAGAGAGGGAGCTCTTATAGGTATAAAGAGAATCAAGCACTAGGGAAATGTCGAGAGATCTACAAGGATGACACCAACTAACAATCTAAGCAACAATGGAGAGGAGGTGTAATGTTCAGGATGCATTCTCCTGTACCAATTTGTTCAAAGGTACTTCCCACTAGGAGGGGTAAGAAAGACATAAGGGAACAGGAAGGTTGTATAGGGGGAAGAATAGAGGAGAGTAAAATAAGAGATACCATAAGAGAGGGAGCTCTTATAGGTATAAAGAGAATCAAGCACTAGGGAAATGTCGAGAGATCTACAAGGATGACACCAACTAACAATCTAAGCAACAATGGAGAGGCTACCTTAAATGCCCTCCCATGATAATGAGATTGATGACTAACTTATATGCCATCCTAGAACCTTCATCCAGTGGTTGATGGAAGTAGAAGCAGATACCTACAGCTAAACACTGAACTGAACTGGAATCCAGTTGCAGAGAAAGAGGAGGGATGAGTTCTTAAGAGCAGGCTGGTGAAACACACAGAAACAGCTGACCTGAACAAGGGGGAGCTCTTGGCCCCCAGACTGATCACTGGGAAACCAACATGAAACAGATCCAGACCCCATGAATGTGGCTGTCATTGAAGATGCCTTGGAAATCTGTGGGGCCTCTTGTAGCAGATCAGTACTTATCCTTAGCATAGGAATGGACTTTGGGAGCCCATTCCACATAGAGGGATACTCCCTGAGCCTAGAGGAGGGCCTAGGCCCTATCTCAAAGGATATGACAGATTCTGAAGACCCCCCCCCATGGAAGGCCTCACTCTTCCTGGGGAGCAGAAATGGTATGGGATGAGTAGGGTGTCAGTGGGGGGCAGGGGAGGAGAGGAGGGAGAGGGAACTGGGATTGACATGTAAAATAATGTTGTTTCTGATTTAATAAAAACTGGAGAAAAAATGAATGGTTGAGTAAATATATAACAAACAGGTTAAATATTGAGCCCTACATTTCTGATATGTAGAATTAGGTTAATGTACATAAAATATCTCATGCTTCTTTAGAAATTTAAGAGGAATCAAAAACAATCATGATGTTGAAAATATATTTTACCTCGAAGGCAAGTCACTAAGATTCCTTTTTTGTTACATGTCATATGCTTTCAAGTACCATTTCAAAGAAAATGAAAAGCTACTGATTCACACAATGTGGAGTTTAATGTGTTCTTTCTCTTTAATTTCGGCTATTATTATTGTGTGTCCATGTGTATGTGTCTGTGAGCACACATGAAGTGTGTGTGTGTGATGAGGGAGGGTTGAATGTGGTCAACCCTCCCTCATGAGGGATGAGGGATGAGGGATGAGGGATGAGGGTTGAGGATGAAGACTGGAGGTCAGAGAGATTCAACATATGCAACCAGGGCTCTAACATAAGTCACCTGGTGTATATGGCCATCTTCACAGTCCAATGGCCTGAGACTAAATAGTGATCAAGTCACTGGTTCAGTGGACAACCATGAACAAACCAAACTTTAATTTTCTATTTTGGAAAATAAAAAAAGGAAATCTACAATATGGCATGGAAGCACACTGGACCAGTGTAATCCCAGTACTCAGAGGGAGGATCGTTAGGTCATGGCCAGTCTGTGTCTGTGCTATATGGTGATTCTGAAGCCATTCAGTCTCAGAAGAACAAAACATCAAAGCTCCCAATACAGAAAAAAAAAATGCATGCCTTGCTATATAGTGTGAGCTGATAAAGAATATGTGACTGTTTTCAAAGTAACATAATATAGTCCCTCTCACTTGTCCATGACCATGTTCTCCCATTTCAACATCAACAAAAACATTTGCCTGAAAATATCTCTGAATTGCAAGTTCAATCCATGCATGGCTAAGTCTAGACAGTGACTTTTATATTTTGTGCAATAAAGAGAAAAAGTTAATGATTAAGAACTCTTGGAAATTCAATGCATGTCTATTTTCCTTCCTCAGCAGAATCAAAGCTGTAAAACTAACACTGACTTGAGATCCCAAGCCTTTTCTTCTGGAGACCACAGACTCCACTGGGAGCAGGCAGATACCTGCCTCCTAAAATGCTATGTGGTAGCCCTAGGAACCAAGAAACAGTAACTGTACTTAGAGATGTCATCCTTATATATCACTAGAAGAGTAGGAACATAAACAACTTTCTTCCAACAAAATGGAAATCTCACAGAAAAGCACCATCACTGCAATAGATCTAAAAAAGTATTTGTGGAGGAAAAGGAGAAAAAAAATACGTTCTCATCATAGCACTAAGAACAATTACAGAGAAAAGAAATATTTTACACAAACAATCATTTTGCTTACAAACAAGACAGAAAGCAGAGACAACTTGATCTATTACTAGAAGATGTATGCTTGCCTCACATTGAAATACTTACACCAATTAAAAACACCCTTTGCAGGTGATAGAACTCAGGGCATTATATATATTAGGCAAGCATTGTACCACTGAGCTACATCAGCTGGCCCAGGTTTATTTGCTGTTGTTGATGTTGTTTTTAATACATGATGTATTAGAAAGAAATTGTGCTTAAGGAATCTAACACTACAAACAGTGGCTTTATACCAATATGAAATAACAGAAAATTAATTTTCTTAGGGTAGTTCATAACACATTGGTATTCATTAATATGGCTTTAAAAAAGTAACCACATTTTACATTCCTTAAATAAATGGAAACAGATTTCACCTTAAATATTCAAAAACATCCTTTATTTTAAAAATTGCTATGGGAAATTGAATGAAGTTATTAGTTGATTTTACTTGTTTGTTTGGATGTTTCTTTTGGCTTTGGTTCAATACATTTTTTTTTCTCTTGACCAATGTTAAGATTCCAAAACACACAGCATGTCACAATTAAACATCTCCTAAGGCGTGCATGACCTGATTAGCATATTAACTTGAGCATAAACCAGCCGTGACCATGTTGCCTCTCTGTCTTTAGCAGACCAGTCTGGGAACAAATAACCATAAGAAATCCTACCAAAATATATTCATCTCACCTTTAGTTAATCTTCCAGAGCTTCAGAATGAATTTTCTCTGCCAAAAGTTTCTCAACCTTTAAATTTGTTCTAAAACTAATCACATGGCCATTAAAATTAACACTCCACGTTTAAGAATTAGTCTTCTTGTAATTTTGATCAGGTCCCACCAACAAGTTCAGATCATGAAGCAGAACTCTGAGATCTATGTATGGTCCAGACCTATTGGATCATTCCACAACTTCCCAGTCAATGTCATCTTCCTACAATACAGAAGGAACTATAAAGTCATCAAAATGCAGATATAATGGGATTTTTGTGTTTTATTTTGTTCTGCTTTGTTTAATTTTTACATTTATTCCGTGTGTGTTGGGGGGGGGGGGGTGGATTAGAGGATAACTTAGGAAAGTCAGTACATTATTTCCACCAATGAGTTCTGGGGATTGATTTAGTTCATCAGGTTTGGCAGCAATCATTTTAAGTGCTGAGTCATCTCACTGGTTCCAGAGGCATATATGACTGAGCTAGTTTGGTTTAAGAAGAATATTAAAGTCACCTAGCTATCAAGGCAAGAATATTCTACCTTCAAAGTCTTTACTTGAGATGCCCAAAAACAAACCACTTTCTGCATCTTGTGATTTGTTGTGTTAACTTTGCCTAGGATTATCAAGGGACTAATATGTTGTTGTTCATTAATTTTATTAACTTTTATTCTTGAGACAGGGTCTCACTACTGTGTTAACTAGAGTTCAAGCAATCCACCTGCTACAGTTTCTTAAGTAGCAGAGTCTGTAGGCACTACAGGTATATGCCACAGGCACCTGACACCTACATTTAAGTTTTAAAGCTGATATTCATTGTGTCATAAGAAAAACTTTGTTTGTGTAGAACATTTAAGTATGTGAATCTGTGTTTTATATGTAAGTTTTGTAAAATCTAAATAATAGTCTAGTATCTCTAATAACATTTTTGTGAGTAAATATAACGTTATAATGTAAATGAGAATAGAATGCATATGCTATTACAAATATTTGTCAAGATAAACTGTCAAATATTACTTTGATTTTTTAATAATGGATATTTGTCAAAAGAATGATACCTTGTATTTATTGGGCTAAATGTATTTTTTCAATTAATGCCTGTAGCTTTTTACTTTGCTTTGCATTATGTTTCTGCTAAACAGAGCTAATAAGAAGAAATAATTACTCAATGGTGTAAGTACCTACACCAGGGCAGAGTTTTAGAAAAATGAGTAATGTAAGAGAAAAGCTGAGAAGCCAGAAAATACTGTAGCATTGCCCCACCACCACCACCACGACCACAGATATCTGAGTAAGCTACACAGCAACACTGGTGCATATTTCCTCATACCTAAAATAGGTAGAATAGCTTCCTAGATAAAACAAACACTTGTAGAGTTCCTGGCATATTATACATAGATGAATTTTCATAAATAATTGACTTCAATATAAGTAGAAATTTTACACAATGACTAATGAGTGCTTCTGGGTAGCTATACCTTCGTGGTAATAAGACATATTCAGTGGCTCGTTCTAGTTTATGACACACTGGGATAACTTTGTTACTATATTTTACAGATAAATGACACCAATTTGTGCACTTACTGCTATTATCAAAATGATTGCAGAATGGGTATACTATTTCCCTTTGTGCTTTTTTTTTTCCTTTTTGGTATATGTGTGTATTTATGTATCTCAGTTAGTGTAGTTATTGTAAACGTCTGTGTTTGAGTACACGAGCCCATGCATGAGGATACCTAGTGTCTGGCTCTATCCCTCTCATTCCCTTGAGGCAGGGTCTCACACCAACTTGGAGCTAGGCTAGCATACAGCACGTCGCAGTGGCCTGTTGTGTCCAACTCCCAAAGCCCTGGGGTTATAGAAGCTTGTGGATACTTCTTACTTTATCCTTTTTCATTAAAAACCAATATGTAAATTGAAATATGTATTCCAAGTAGCTTTGATAAATCAGTACTAAAAAATTCATAACAGGTAATTTTCAGAAAGTGAGAGGTGCCAAGGAAGGCCACCTCTGTCTACAAGGAGTTTTGTTGAAATGTTGATGCCTAAATAGGTAGCTTGGAGGTCCATTGACTGTGATGAGCCTGGAGTTTCCAAGAAAGCTAAGACATAATGATCTTTCTTCATCAGCCCAATTCTTTTTGTTCCCCATCACCTAGTTGATATCGATGTATCCTGTCTCTGCCATGCACTAACAGTTCTTGGGCTTCTCTGATTTGCAACATCATTTGCTCAAAAGCACTAATGCAGGATGAAAGTAGAAAAATGGAACATATTTTAAAATGTGGTTAAAATGTGTTGGACTTTTGTCTGTTCCTTTCTCTATGTGCAAATACATGCCACCTTAATCATATCTGACTTGTCACCAACATAAATTGGAGTTAAATTAAACAGCAGCCGAGTACATAGAAACTACTTTGCTGGATTCTAACAAAACTAGTTTGCTTTTAAAAATGTTGCTATTGTGTTAGAGTAAAGATCCAAAACAGAGTTATGGCTTTTTCAGGTCTTAGATTTGTATAGTAACACAAGCACCCTGAATAGAAGACATTCTGCTAGTGTAACACTCAAGTGTTTTTTCCAAGTTGTTCACCAAGTTATGTATTAAGTGAATTAAGCCTCAAATTTAAAAACATGTAGTTTATTAATTCATTTTGAGCAGTGAGTTTTCAAGAAGCAGGGTGAAAGGCTAGGTGTCCTTGGGAATTCATCAGAGAAAAGTTTCTGAATTTGTTTATTACACTACAGTATTTGCTTGGTTTTGTTTGCTTGTGGGGTTTCGTTTTTGGTTTGCATTAGAGTGTAAAGCAGTTAAAAATTAGTGAAGGTTTTAATCTCTGTGTCCATTTAGGAAGCAATTTATAGAACAGTCCTGGATAACTAGATTGAAATTAGAGGGTTGAAAGAAAGACAAATACAAATATGTTAACTTCAGAATCTTCAATAAGAGATTGCTTTTTGTTTTGACACCATTTTTCTGAACCCATTAGTTAAAACTAGAGGGATTAAATGTTAAAAAGATGTCATAACCAGTAGCTTAAATACAGTATTCTGTTTCATTAGATATCAATTAATTCAGCTGCAACTTACTGCAGACTTGACATGTGCTAATCACTACTCAAAGATCTAAGGCTAAAGGATACAGCTGTTGGTTACACTGAATTTGGCTGAAGTGATTTTAAATTGTTACAAATTTGTGAAAAACAAAGCAACAAGTCTCTTTCAGTGAGGATGATAAATCTGTTCCCTCAGGTGCCCTGAGATTTCATAACACATTTCATACTTTTTGTTGCTGATTACAAGAACTCAGACTCCTTATACAAAGGAGGGGATAGTAAGGTGGAGATAGAATGGAAGAGTGACATTAGAAACACAACCCAGAGAAATATCAACAAGAAATAAACCAATGCAGAGTTTGGTATGACTGGGTCCTCAGACCAAAACCATACCCAGCCAATGACCTAAGGCATCCAGCCAAAACCTGCCCAGAAATAAATAACAACTCAGTTTGTGAGAACTGTCAGTAAAAGAAAACAGTGCTGAAGTCCTCTGAACAGACTTGTGGGCAGGCGGAAAGCCTTGGTAAGTGTAGACTAATAGCCTGTCAATGGCTGGTCCTCCTGGAAAAGCAAACCCTTCAGGGCTCCCTAGTGCAACTTGCAAAAAAGCAGCAACTTCCCGTTCAGGCACTAATAGCCTGGTCTAACAGGTTCATTCACCTCACTTTAGCAGATACTATCCATGGGCCTTAAAGAAGCAAACGATAAATCAAGAAGCCTGACCGCTTCTGAGAAACATGTTTCTTATGTTTACAGCAAATACTACTCTGAGAAACGGATGGATTAACAAAATTCTGTAGCAGTCTGCTCTTTTAAACCCACTCGATCAGTCACCCCAGTTTCACTTACGCCCAGCATCTGGTGGATGTAGTAGTATTCTGGCCCTTGATTGTACAGCAGGAAGGTTTTCCAGAAAAGCAGGACATTTAGGGACAGCCAAATAAGCTAGAGCAGTCAAAGAGAGAGAAAACAAAAAATTACAAAAGAAACATGACTCTATAGAAAGCACTCACTGGACTCAGGTCTGCACATGCAACCTCAGCGTTTACCAAAAGCACGCTCAAGCAGAAAGTGGAAAAGACATTCTGAGGGCTGACCTTACTCAGCCCCTGCACCTGAAATAAAGGTTGGTGGCAAATACATCCCTGAGTGATCTGCAGACACCTTACTTTCCCAAGCCCAGTGCAAACTGACACTGAAGTCAGTGGCACCAGCGTAGCCTAAGAGAACTGAAGCAATTGGAAGAGCAAAGGAGGTAAGCCTTTGAAAGGCTAATGAAAAGCCGCGTTAGCTCCCCCTTCCTCCACATAGGCTCCCCATCACTCTGTAGTGAAGTTCCCCTGCCCGCAGCAGGAAGTTCTCTCGAGTAATGCATAAAGTTGTGATTAGGTGAGGAAGTCTGAATCCAAATCCCCCAAACTTCCACTACTCTCATCCCACAGGCGCACACTCCGAGAATGAACCAAACTCGCTG